AGAGAGAGAGAGAGAGAGAGAGAATGATGAAAAAAGAGAATATAACGCGATACGTTATTTTTAGGTTTAGAAACATTTTCATGAGAAATTCAATGTTAAATAATAAGTGTTCGATACATTTGATTTATCAATTATTTGATAAATAATAACTATTAATAAATTTTACAACAAGAAAGAATTTTTGAACGTTAGATATTCGATAGATGAAAATAAAAAGAAAGAAAGAATCGATAGGGATGTAATATGAGTTTCCATTTCACTAAATTCAATCGTAAAAATTTACCTTGATCTATTACCCTTGTCAGCGCGAATATGTATCGGACAATTATATTTTTCATCTTCATCCGCGAAAAAAAGCCCTAATTCTATTTCGACGCATTCGTAAACGTATAAAGCCTCTTCTGGTGTGTAAAGATTATACGTAGAATCATATTGTGACCAAGACTGAAACTCACAGTTATCCACAGTTAAATACAAAAAATTAAATAATATCGATTAATTTCAAATCTTATTTGTTTTTTTAATATTTACATTTTAACAATAAATTATTTATATCTGCAAGAATATGATTGTTTTTCATTTTATAAATAAATTTTTGTCATTAAATTCATCTTTATTTTGCTATTTTTCAATCACGTTTACTATCTTTTCGTGCATCATTATCGATCACGATATGTTTTCGATATGTTAAATCTTTTGTGTTTAATAATATTTGTTTGGATTACACATGTGTAAACATGTGTAATTTAAATATTTTTATTATAAGTTATTTTAAACTAAAGTATTTTCTCGTATATCTAGCGTGTATATAGAATCATCGTATATTTATTATATTTACATTTCAAATATACTCACTTTTCTATCATTATCGTCATCGATCAATTCATCTTTCAACAAAATCGCGTGATAAATCTTTCCAGTACACGTGGCAATAATTACTATCGGAGGGGTAGTTTGTAAACACATTATGGAACAAGAATCTATTCCGTAATTGTCGTCGACTGGAGGATATATAGAGAGTGATTCTGATACCACTGGATTTTCATGACTTGATAAAATAAAAATAATTTATTATAAATATTTTAAATGATACGATTATATCATTTTAAAAAAATATTAATTAATTGATTAAAATAATTTTTTTTTCACAAACTAACTATCCAATTTTATTAATTTTTAGGAATTAATTTGTATAAAAAAAATATATATATAAAAAGACATACGTATCATGCAATATGTTGCCACGAACAATGCGTACTTCTCCATTTCCACGTAGAACAAGAATGGGCCATTCAATTTGATTCCAATCGACAACGTTATCCTATATAGATAATTTGTATTGTCGAATTTCACGATTGGTAACGTACACGGATGTTTCATATTTTTATGCTATATACCTTATTGATATCTTTACCGATGAAAATTTCTGGTTTACAGAGAGTAGGTGTAGCGAAATCAAAATCCACCGCTGTGTCGCCTAAAGAGGTGAAATCTGGTATTTTGGATGGTGAACCGAACGGTACACGGCCAACTTTCCAACTTCTTATCAGCCTTGGCTTGTTACCCAATTCGCATTCGTACAAGCTAAGAAAAAATTAAAATTATATGTCATTTACATGTTTTCTACGGATATTTCGATCTAAAAATTTTGTAAATTTTTTTAGATGAAACTTTTATCGCGTTAAATCAAAGTTTATAAATAATAATAATATAAATAATAAATAATATTTTGATGAATGCCAAAAAATTGATAAAAGATATTCAAAATGTTCAAGATATTCAAAGTTGTCGATTACATATGAAAAAGAAGAAGAATAAAAATAAGAAGAAGAAGAAGAAGAAAAAGAAGAACAAGAAAATAAAATTATATAAAAATTATTGAATAAAAATGTTTTTTAATTACCGAAATGTATTTTCGGATGTTAAAATTAGCAAATGAGAATCATTCGTAGAGCCTGGATGCCATCTTGCTTTTCGAATATCTATCGTTTCATTGTAAACCCTGAAAAATGGAAAAGGATAGAGATGTTTATTAACATATAAATATCAATCTCTTATCGTCTTATGATATCGTTTAATATCACTTATTTATTCTACGATTTATATTAAAATATCATTATGAATTACAAATTTTTTAAATTTGGATGAAATTTGTATCATAATGATGATAGGAATGGTAGAGGCAATATTCGTGTTATTAAATACGAACACGTGTGTCCGATAATTGTGAGTGAACGTTTATATCAAGTGATAGTGTAACGTTCTCCATAACTATCAATTGTTTGCGACAATAAAAAAAATCTAGTTTTATTTATGTAAAATACTTCTTAAGAATTACTAATATCTTTTCGTGATCGGGACATTCGATGGACTTTTATCTATCACAAAACTTGCAAACACCACAATTATTTACATCATCCTACATCCAATGAAAAACATACGATATTCATAAATATCATCGAATGATTATGATATACATATATTAATAATAATAATAAAACGATTCACGATAATCTTGACATCTCATTCGTCATATTGTGACGGTCAGAGACATTTGTGGAAGAGAGAAGCGACAAATATTACATCAAATTAAGTATTTAGTTAGTTAAAAAAATTCTTTTTGTTCAATCATTCTTAACAAAAAGAGATTAAAAGATTAAAAAGAATGAAATATAAGGAGATCTTTTCGTTGGAAAAATAGCTCTCATCATGCTATATATGTAAAGATCCTATGTTCTCAGGCTTATTTTAATTTTAATTGTTGATGGAGTGAACGAAAAAAAAAAAAAAAAAAGGAACACGAATGACGCAACAACATTTAATATCGAACACAGCGATACGATAGATTATAATTCATACAATAAAGCTTTACAGATTTATATTGGAAAAAATCGAAAATTTGAAAAAATCATTCGAGTCTAGAAGATAAAAATTAAATCGAAGCACAAGAAAAATATTTTTTTTCTTAATTTTCCCATCTTTGTATATCTTGTTCGTTCGTTCGAGGAACATCCGTTCTTTGGGCACGTCTCCTCGTTAAAATTTAAATAAATGGGAGAGAATATTTCATCCAATCCAGAGAAGTTTATGAATTTTCGTGGGCGTTTCCTAGTCGTTGATGTTCTATATAATCGTTTCTCAAATATATATATTTGATATATTATATCGTTAAATTGGTTTAGATCTCGATGAATTTTCTCAAAAATAAGAAATACTGTCGTCGTTTTGTCGTTTAAAGTGACAATTTGTTCTTTTGATAAGATAAAAAACTTTAAATTTTCGCGTTTAATATATTCGCGTCGACAGCTAAGGGATGATTTTTTTTTCGCGAGGAAAATTATTTATATCGAAGATTGGACGCGTAATTGGAAGAGAGCGAACAAAGTGTCGAAAGCAACGTTAACATCTGTTGTCCCGTTGCTTAGTTTTTCAGACGTGTCGTTATTTAACGCAAATTACCCTAATCTTTCACGATCGTCGTACCCTCGGCGCGTAACGAAGGAATACACCAAAGCATCACGATGTTTGTTTTTCACAGGGACGAGCCGGCGGGATGCGGCGACGATGGTCGCCTACATTTCGTATATTTTATTATTACTCTCGCACTTTCCGTGGCTGGACACGGTAACGCTGGTAAAAGGGGTTGACGGTGGTTAGCCGTGGCCGTTATTAATGTCCACGGCACAGCGTTGGCAAGGGGTTGGGGAGGGAGGGAGAGGCAAGAAAAAGAGAGAATCAGGCAGAAAAAGCGGGAGAAAGGGGCTTGACGCAAATGGAGAACGAGGAGGGGAAGAGGATGAGGAGGGTTGAAAAAAAAAAAAAAAAAAAAAAGAAAAGAAAAAAATCGATGGGCATAGGGTATCGTCGGCAACGACTGGTTACACTGGATATACTAACGACAAGGACGAAAGCAACTTTACCATCATCCAACGTTACCCAACGCCCCGTTGCAAAAGCACGCCAGGATTCTTAATAATTGATAAAAATGTACGCACGCACGTACCGATAGGGAGAGA